TTTCGTTTTTTTCCTTTTTGCCAAAGGGTATTGAAATATTATAATTTTGTTTTGATTGCTTATATTTCTTATTGAGATGGCTTTTTATATTCTTTTAAAAATGTTTTTATTGACAGAAAAATGTAATCTTTTTACATTTAAAAGTGATGTATGTATTACTCTAAAAACCATAAATAATTGATGTGAACACTCCACGCGTTTTTGTCAACACTCTAAAATTGCTGGATGTCTTTCATTTCTATAGCATTCAAGTAGCCATTCATTTCAAGCATGGGAAGTGAAAGAATTAACAGTCCAAGAAAACTCAGATTCTTGTGCCTTCACGGATTTCGAGCCAGCGCCGAGATTTTCAATAAACAAGTCATTGGAAAGTGGCCGGAATCTGTCCTCGGCAAATTAGATCTGGTTTTTGTCAACGCTCCTTTTCCATGTCGAAGCAAATCAGACGTCCAAGGAATTTTCGATCCTCCGTATTACGAGTGGTTCCAGTTCAACAAGGTTTATTTCTTTTTATATTTTGGCATTAATCTTAATAAAATTTGTTTAATTCAATTATTTTTTCAGGAATTTAACGAGTACGAGAACTTTGATGAATGTCTAGCTTATATTGAAGATTGCATGATAAAACATGGTCCGATCGATGGCCTCCTTGGCTTTTCTCAGGTATATTTAACATACCTTTTCATTTATGTAAATTGTAATGTAATAGATTTTGAACAATTCAGGGTGCAATTTTATCTGCTGCATTGCCCGGATTACAAGCAAAGGTAGGGACGTATTTATTTTATCTTCCACCATAGCCGAATGGTATAGAAGGTTCTGTTTTGCAGGGTATGGCTGTAACGACCCGGGTCCCACTTAACGGGCTGTCCTGGCCGTTAGATCGACGACGTACTGTTCTCACTGTACCAACATTGATCTTTTCAGCATGCTTTGTCCTCACTCGCACGCTCCCCGAGAAAACTTCCCAGGGGGGTCACCCATCATAGAATTGCTCCAAGCCAAGCACGCTTAACTGTGGAGTTTCCAACGATGGACTTCCGGAAAAGAAGGTGCACCTTGTGGTATGAGTAGTACCTATCAAATCTCTTAAACTTTCTTGGTCTGGGGTATTACAATCACCCCCCGTTAGACTCGCGACGATTATGTACACTTAGCATTATTCTTTATTTTATCTTCCACCATAGCCGAATGGTATAGAAGGTTCTGTTTTGCAGGGTATGGCTCTTACAAATGTACCTAAGATAAAATTATTGATAATAATTGGAGGAGCAAAGTTGAAGAATCCGTCATTGGCTGACAAGGCATATTCATTGCCAATTCAATGTCCATCTGTTCATTTCTTAGGTAGCTCCAAATCTTGTGCCTTTCTATTATGTTTAGTTTTGTCATCTCCAAATGAAATTTAAGAACTTGCATACTTCATTGTTCTGCATTTTGTATTAAACATGCTAGCAAGTTGAATTATTACTCGCTGTATTTTAACAAAGTACAGGTTTGCATATCAGGGGAGAATGATTTCTTGAAACCATATGGGACATTACTCCTGGAATCATTTGTAGAACCATTAGTAATTCATCACCCAAAGGGCCATACAATACCAAGATTTGGTAATGTTCCAACATTCTACTTGCAAATTATTTTTTGTTTGGCATAATATAGCAGCTTGATTAATTCACATATTCCTTTCATTTTTAGATGAGAATGGTTTGAAGAACATGCTGTGTTTTCTTGAAAGGATGCAGGAGCTTACAGAGGTCGAGAAAATATAGAGATATTTACTATTGAATAGCATTTATCTGAATTGTTGTCATTTGGTCCCCTTCAAACTAAATTTAAATGGGGAAATAATTTCAAAGAAAAGAGTGTTTTGGAAGTCTCAGAAAATTCCAATCTTTTTAAACCTGCTGATCTCTAATATTTTTCAAGATGTTTGCTCTGAATATTGTGTAGCTTACACAAGAGAGTTACCTTCTAATTTCCTATTCAATTTGCACGATATCAGGCACAGAAATCATGTTTCCTGTTCCGGGGGGCAGAGCAGGGTGGGGGCAAAAGACAAGATACTTAACCATCCTTGCTCTGACTCTCTTGAACTGCCAGGATAGTTATTTTGTTCATATCCACTATTTCCGTAATTGCATATACAAATTTCCATGTTAATGGTGAAGTTAGGTGCTTGGTCCATACACCAAAAACTGTCCGTTCTCATTCACAATGTTTGAATTCACTATTCTTCACAATGCTTCATTCCAGTCTTGGAAGTTGGAACTGTCGAGTCTAATTATCTATCTTTCATTATGGTGACCTGAACCAAAATTCTTTAAAAATTAATTTAGTTTTCAAGTTGTAAAACAACTCTGAATCTAATGAAGGAAAGCTAATAAAACTAGAGGCTCCAAGCAGTCGAAGAAATTTGGACCAATGACAAGAGTAAGTTGCTTAAGTGCATCAAGCAAAATTAAACCAGCAAACCAAACTAGTCTGAAGAACAATATTTTCAATTGCATAATTGATAATCTACGACAAGGATAGCACTTTGTACATTTATATGCAAATTTCGGGATGAGCCAAAATCAGAACAAAACAACTTATAGTAATATGCAATTGTCATGAGCCGGGAAGGATTCTGTCATAATTAGCATCTTTGAAAAATCTTGTAAAGTTTCTCCAGTGAAGCAACCTAGAAAGTGAATATAATTTCTTGTTACAATACATAGTGCAAAATATTATAACGTATAGAGCGCGCGCAAACCAGACTGATATAAGAGTTTCAGTAGAAGTGCATACTATTAAATAAGGTGACCTAATAGAGAACACTTCAAGAATCAAGCAGAAAATCAATCATAAAGCAATGAAGATGTTCTTCTCATAGCAATGAAATTGAATGGGAGTGCAAAGTTCAGGAACAAGAAGGGTATATAGGACATTTAAAAATTCTCAAAGGTATCCGTAAGAATGCAAGGGAAGGAGAGGGGAAATGAAAGTGAAAATCCTTGTTCTCGTTCATTTTTTTGCTTCTTACTGCACATTGGAATCTTTCGGTCCCTTTCTTCTATCTCTCTTACCAAACAAGACAAATGGTTCTCTTCTAGGAAGCAGAATGGGAAACTCATTTTCTTATCCCTCTCAACTAATTATTAGCAAACTGATAAACGCAGACAAATAGTAACAAACTGGTATACAATGAAGACTTCTGAAATTTTATTACCTGGACAAATGTTCCATTTGTAACCATTGAGGTTGGAGGCTTGAGAAAAAGTCTCATGGATGGAAACAAAATATGTTGGATTGACCATTCACGCAGAGCCCAAGTATTTTCAGCCTCCAAAAGTAGTTCATGGTTGTATTCATCGTCCTTAGCATTCTCTGGTTAATAATGTTGTATTTGTACATGAAAATTAAAAAATATATATATTAAATATAAAAGTAGAATTTTGAACACACTATTTACAAAAATGATCTAATGCTACAACTAAGTATTCACAAGTATGAGAAGTGTTGCACATACACAGTGAGTCCATCCTACGGTTCAAATTAAATAAAAACTGCTAGACTAATATTTTAAAGCAGTTACAAGTTTTCATATTTCTTGAAAGAATTTAAATACTCGAAACAGAATTCAGCTGCAGTAAATCTGATATCATAGAACACCTATTGTTGAGAGCCTGTGTATGGAAAAGAGTCTTGCAAGACTCATATTTATGTAAGTCAGATAATCAGATTAAAATTTTGATATTGCATCTATCTTTAGCTAAAACAAAGTAGAATGTCAAAGTTACCAAATAATTTGGTAAGAAACTAATTTACACTTCGGTCTTGTTGGTCATAGATTGCCTGATACTGATCTCAACCTCAATGTTTTCATCTTGTAAGAAACTAATAGTGCTTCTTGAAGCAAATAGAGGGGTCGATATTATAAATTTCAACTGCTTTCCCATTTCTTTTTTAATCCCATTAAAGCTGAAAGATGCATTCTTACATAAACAACTTTCTCACATAAGGAGCTACAAAGTTTGCTATGCAGGAATCATAGAGAGCAAATTGATGATCCCAAGCATGCCCATCGACAGTTCAGAAGCTTCCAAGGAATAGAAAGTTGGTGGACTGGATAACAAAGAAAAATCTATCAAGTGGCAATCCTTGTTCGCTTGAAGTTCCGCTTCTAGAGTGAGCACGAAAAGAACTTTATAGGAGACAAATGACAGTGTCTTACTTGGAAGTCTTTATAAGTGAAACTTTGGATAGGATTTTTGGTTTATGAAGTTATGTTCTCATTTATAATATGTAAATTTCGTTATAATGCTAATCATTAGTTAAAAAGTTTCATCAAGTTTTCATTTTAGAACTCTTTGGCATCATTTACCTAGGTCCAACAAAATAAATTCTTTCGGTAATGGGAAAAAAGAACAAAATAATAAACTATATGACATTTGTAAGGTTCAGCTTTGGTAGTACTGCTCACAAAATGATTTTATGACAAGGGAGTCGTACCAGCAGTTTCTGAAAATATTCCTCCTCTAGGACTGCGAGAAAGCACCCTCCTCTTGTAACACTGCAAGCCATTACCTGATGGATTAGGCAACAAAGGAGGATGCATGGCATAGAAGTTCCCAATGGCAGCAGCTATTGTTTGAAAACAATGCTTCTCGTCATCCCAATCAATCTAGAAACATAAGCAAAATTTAGCTTCTGACAAATTATAGGAGTATATGTAACTATCAAAAATTCAATAATGGTTGGCTCTTGTGCTAATATTAAATTAAGCATCATGCAATGGCACATGATCAATCAAAATTCCGAACTCTAAAGCAAGATGTATTTTACAACTGCAGAGTGCAGAGGGATAATCAGCAAATTCCAAAAACCATAGGACTATCATGCATTTTGAACTATTTTTACAGCTAGAATTGTTATTAAGCATGCCGATTTGGGCATGTTATTCCACCAGTGAATACTTTTCAAACATGTATAGAAGTAGTGTAAAACAATTCTCAGAACTATTGTGCAGAGACTTTCTTCAGATCATATTAACAAAGCAGTACTAAAAATACTAAAAGACAGCTGAAGCAACACAAACTATTGGCAGAAATTATCGTGGTAACATAAACTCCATTCTAAAAGATTCCCCAGACAAATTCAATAAGACAAAATAAAACACAACCAAAAGAAATTGATGTTCGTTTCCGTTTAGAATAAAGGTTGAAAAAGAAAATACACAGTTCATATTTCTGGGCCTAATAATCAAATATTCTACCACTGAAGTATTTAATCAGCCAAAAGTCAAAAGAATAATCACAAATGGGATGATGGATCAGGAAGCTTCCTGATTGCTGTGAAGGCACGACCAGATTGTTGACAGTAAGGGTGGATCAAGGATTTTATTCAAGAGGGGAATTGTGTGCAATTATGTAAACCTTGTTTAAGAATGGAAGAATTAGGAAAAATGAACTTCCTTTGAATTACTCTAATGACTTTGGGAAACCCGGAGAGGAGACAAATGCCCCACGTCTACTAAGGTATATTTGTTCTGGTGGATAAAACATTTTTAACATCAAAAAATAGCGATTCATTCTAGACCTCATAACACTGCATAATAGAACGAGAGCGAGAAATAGAAGCACCTAAGTGGTACACCACTTTAGAATGCCATCCATCACATAATCAAAACAGTAAAACGGTAACCTAATCAATGGATAAATTATTCTTATGTGGTAACTTCAAAAATTTGGCCTGTAGTAATTAACTTCAGTACGTCCATATCCTGTTAAGGCATCCAAAACTGATTCGTGTGCCTTAAACATCAGGATGTAGATAATTATTATGTAAATAAAAGAGGGCAAAGGAAATGAATGGCATGACACTTACATCGTTGCCCAAACAAAGAACAAACTCTGGAAAACGGTCCATGTCTGGCGTGTACTGATCAAGTATGACAGGAATCCTCAACAAAATACCATTGGGTTCAATACAAATGCCAAAATACTCCTCCAGCATCTCAGTCTTCTGCTTGAGAAGTTCTGTATTCATCTAGCAAAGAAATGAAAATATTAGAAGTACAAGAATGAGCATAATCAAGCAAATTCATAAGTCATACTCAGATTCCATTAACATACTTCCCAATACTTAATTGGACTGATTCTTTAATTTGATTAGAAGATGTAACTTGAGGAATTTAGGAGCATATTATCTACATTTATGTGTATTGATTCAAATAATGAAGCTTGGTGCTAACAATTGGATCAATGCCTCTTTAGATCCTTTGTTGAACATAATCTGCCCTTCAAGTGCTTACATAAGCAATTAACCTGTTAAGGTTTAGTGGCAAGAATAGGAACTTGCCAATCTACTGGAATAGGTTATAAACAACTATCTAGTATCTGCAGAACTCATCTATCTAATAAATATTTTAGGTCCAGATATAAAATGAAATGTCATTTTTTAATTCCAAAATGACAGCCTTGATATGGTATTACAACAGGTGTGATAGTGGTACAGAAGTAATAGGGCAATAGTTAAGGGTGCCACTGGTAAATAGGATTGGTTTGTGTTGCAGCGGAAGTAGTATATGGGACATTGAGGATGATGCAAACGTGATGGGATTAAGTATAGGTGTGCCAAAAAACTATAAAGTGTTGAAAATCAATAATTAATAAAACTAGTCCTAAAAGCATAGTCTGCTTGAAGTCTGAAATGATAAACTTCTGTGGCTACTAGGTCTAGCACTAATATGAAGAAAGAAACTTTAATAAAACCCAGCAAAGAAATGCAGTGCAACCATTAAAAATCAAAACATAAAAAACTAATTCAATCTTATGCAAAGCTGCAACACAGTCCTTATTTTACAGAATTAATAGTTAGTGCTAAGTCTAAGATGAGTTACTTCGGCAATCTTTTCTTTTAGGCCCTCATGTTCATTGGCTTCTGGATCCAAATCTTCCTCTTTCAGTGCCAGTATTAATAATTCTCGCAACGGAGCAGGGTCGCTCAGTTGAATTGCATTAAAATGAGCAAAGCCCCGCAAAACTTGCTGGTACATAAGCTCTTTGCTGTCAGAGCCTCACAAACAAAGGAAACATTAGGATTATTATGTCAAACAAAGTATTGATTATGTAAAATCATGACTGTGGATCAAGACCATATATGAAAGTCTTTATGTTATACAAGTTTAGTAAGTCAAACTTTGAAGAATGCAAGTTTTGGCCCAGTAGAAAAACAAAACAAGACAGGCAATAGTTTCATTGTTAGTGAATATCATTTTCAGTTAAATCAGTGCTGCTAGCAGATGTCGAAATTGCCTATACAATTTTAAAAACCGGGTGGAGGACCTGCAAGTTACTAAAAACTTGAACATCCATCCCCATCATAAAAATCGTTACATAAGTAACGATATTAGTTTACCAAATATTTAGTTTTAACTCCCTTATACAATAAAGCAAAAAATTTACTACTGTTGAGGGTTCCATTAACTGACAACTGAACTGGCCCTTTTTTGCTCCTTCAATAACAGTCAACAACCATTTTGTTATCTTCTAAACAAGTTCTACTTTTCCATTTATCCTAAATTGCCCAGAAAAAAACAACTGACTTCTGGGTTAGAAAAGGGGTTTTCTTGCTGTCCTAAATCAGGTTTCGAAAATAAAGAATAACCTTGGAGTTCCTCATATCAAGCTGTAATGGAGAAAAAATCGAGTTTGCTGTCATATATTTTTCTTTTTCACTCGTCCATCAAAAATTTTACACTTATTATCTGTGATCAAATTATTTTTCAAATAATCCTATTATAAATGAAGCAAATCAGCCATGGAAATGCGATTGATTTAAGAGACTTAGTGCAGGAGATAAAGATGTTCAGAAAAAGCTATTGGATTTAAGGCTTGGCAGGATCAGATAGCAGAGTGAGCAGCTATGGAATCAGCATTCTGATGAATGTAAGGGACTAAGGGTGCATCATAACCTACAAACACTAGGAATAATCATATTGAAAATCCACTTTCTTCTGATGATTTAGCCAGATCAGCCACTGTGCTTCCACTCATAAAGTAGCCTAAATAAGGAGTAAAAGAGCTCATCATTTGTTCTCACTTCGAGAATTTCTAATTCCAGTGCATAAAGTTTACTACACACTTTAACTCATCAGAGAAAATTGGGGAACACAACATCTTAGAAGTAAAATGTAATCAAATGTTAAGAAAGTAAAGTTTGGTATAAGAAAGATCCTTGATTTTTCTCTCAAACAAGCAAAGATTTTAAATTACCTAGGAATCAAATTAGTAAAATGATGAGTTACCTCAAGTTAACCTCGTTAGCAAGATAAAGGTGAGTCTTGTGCTGAAGCAGAGCAAAAACATCATCTGCCATCCCAATATATGTACAGTGCCCAACAAGATCCAGCAACCCTTTAACAACTCAAGTCAGTAGAAAACACTAGCCACTGTGGTGAAAATATTTTCTAATTATAATGGATATATGACCTATACCAGAGTGGCAATTGGAATCAATATCTTCAACAAGTTCCTGAATGCTAGAAAGATCTGCAGTTTCCCTAGGGTTTCTCCTTTGTCAGATAGAAGATCTGCGTAAAACAATGAATGAGCAAACAAAGAAAAGGCCTAGCTGAATCTATTACTTTGCCCTTTTTTGGTTCCCATTATTTCCAAAATATATTTTTTTCTTTCTTATTTTCGACTACACATTCTTCAATAAAATAATATTACAATCAAATCCAAAACTTTTCTTTAATTTTTAACCACGCACTTTTCAATAGAATACCATTCCATAATGCATTTTGGGCCAAAAAAAAAAAATGGGGCTTAAACAGGCGCTTTATTTTTATTCGAGATGCATATAGATATGATATCAAAATATTGAACATGGTAATAAGGTACGATATTGCACAAAGAAAACACCTAATTGGGTGATGTCTCAATAGATTATAAGCTCTCCTAATCCGTGACTCAATCTAAGTAATGTTAGTAACTTCTCATTCCATCTAACACTTGAATAAAGTGAATGATTGAATCCTGTAAATTATCAACAAAGCGTTTTATTTTGACTTGCATTATCATCTGAATATGTTAACATGAGAAGTGAAGTACCTCACAGAGGTCAAGCAGGAACTTCCTTGCAGCTGACTAGAAGGGTTAATTTGCAAGTACGCATGCAACCTTCCAGCAGGATCCTGTGAATCTGTTCGCACCATTTTGTGCACTGGTACTTTTTGTGATTTTTGTCCTACATAGTAACACATGCTTGGATAATCAAAGGGAAAAGTCCAAAATAACAAACATTTAAAATAAGTCCAACTCCACTTTAGTTCCATATATATTTTCTGTACCAGAAGATGATGGATTATTAGGTGAATCTTTGCCCACAGCCATAGAACCAGATAAAGATGGGTCCACCATCTGCCTCGCATGAAAAGAGAAAGACAAGACAAGACAAAAAATAAGCCAAATGAGAAGAAGAAGATCAACAAGCAACAGTAAATAAGCCATATGAGAAGTAACAGTTTAGGTATTAAAAGCTTAAAGCATATAGCCTCCAATGACTACCAAAGAGAATAATCCCAGATCTGCAAGCAAAATACTGATAAAAACATAAACAATTATTCAGGGGCAGATTTGTTAGAAGCAAGTGCATGTCAAAATACTGATACTAAAAAATAAATAAAAGAATGATATGAATCAAGATTTTCTAATTGAATCTCACATTATTTTTCTTTCTTTTTTACCAAGATTTATAATCAGATTTTTGCTAATATTTTTTTTTAAAGTTCATAAGACCAAATGAATAAACACGATTATCAAGAAACTTCAAAGCAATGGGTATATTGACCTCAGAGAGAACTTCTGATCAACATATTGATTTTTGAGTTCTCATTTATTGCTAATATTATATGTACCTCTCTCTTTGTTGGGTGTATATTCACATCAACATGCTCAGTTGGCAATTTGATTGACATGTAAATGAAGGGTTTTCATGCCTTGGGCAATGTTGCAGTATAAACAATTTCAATTGCCCTCTTGAGAGCACCACACTCCACCAGTCTATCTGAATAAGAAAGTTAAAAGAAAAGGTGAGGCAAATATCACAAGAGGGCTTAAAATTTTGATGCACAGAGCAAAAAAAAAAAAATCCAAGAAGATGAGGGAGAGAGATATCAGAATCTAGGCAATTATTGCAACATATATATAGAAAATAGTGTAAAATGAGTCCTGAATTTTGTAAAATATAAGCATTAAGTCTGTAAAAACTAAAAATAATTGTTTCAACTACTTGAAAAAGAAAATAATTAAACACAACCATTATGGTCTGCAATCTGTAGCAAAGACTTGGAGTTAAATAATGACTCTTGAATGTGCAATTACCAAGAGTCAAGAAGCAAGTACATACCATTGATAAAAAGCACCATTATTGTCTTCTTTGCAATGTAATTAGAATTTGAAATGAAACCATCCATACTTAAAATCGAGCTCGAAGAATCACTATCAGAAGCGTCAATCTTTATGAGATTTCGAGCAACTGACACCCCATAGACAGATCTGATAGCATCAAGCCTTGAAGATGTTACCACAGAGTGAATGTCTGGTCTAGAAGCTCCATGCTGAGTACAGAGGAAAATTTATCCAAGATGTGCATGAGTCTTCAATTCTTGGATAGAATGAAAGACAATTGGAGATATCATGATAATTATTTCTGCAAGTGACTAACCTTTCTGCAAGAGAAGCTCACACTATTATGGTGTATAGCAAACCGACAAATCAGGTCCACAATTTTTGGATAGTCATCAGCAGAATTTTGAAGTGTTTTCCTCCGAGCAGTCATGTTATAAATTAAATTCTCAATCTGAGTGTGGAAGGAATATGAGTTATAATTGCACAACGTACTGGTAAATGAATTTTTGTCTACTACATTTTCCACATGAAGAAAACATAGCACGTCAAAAACAATTCAAGTAGACCATGAAAACATCTACTTTCCTATTGTGTTTCAACTCTGTAAAAAAAAAAAAGAAGAAGAAGGGATTCGTGATCACTAGTTCCAAAAATGAACTTTTGAACAATATTGGATACCAAAAGCCTTAATTCAGTGCCTAAATACCAGGAAAGAATTAAAAAAAAAAAAGCATTAGCAAGTCAAAATCCCACCATTATTTGAGTCCCCTTCACAGCTGCACATGCTTTTGGTTCGTGCTCCATCATACCATCTCTATATGTTGCCCTAACTAGCCATAATAACACATAAGAACATAGAAAGTACATATTTTGGTGCCCAAAAAAAAAAAAAGGTTTTCAATTGTATGTTTTTTTTTTCCTTTCTTGCTCCCAAAGCCACCCCACCCAGGAAAAAATAAATAAGGAACCTAGAAAAAAAAACTACAGCATAAAAACAAGGGAAAATGGGCACAAAAGTATTTGATATATACTAGTAAAAAACAACACTTGAGTAAAGATTTAAAGAAATGTGTATGGGTTATGGACATACAAGATATAAATATGTGATCTTGAATCTGGTTTTTTAATTGAATGACTTTTGCATGACAACAATACCTGTAACCATGAAGCTGACCCTTGGTAATGGTGGTGACTGTGACATGACCCACGTAGGTCATACTTGCCAAGGCCTCCCCTCTAAACCCCAATGACTTAATGGACTGCAAATCCTCAAATTTACTTAACTTTGATGTCGTATGCCTTTCGCATAATATTGGTAAATCATCATGCTATATAACAATGAAAGAGAAGTATGAAAGAGTTACAATCAGCAACATCCACAAAACTCCCAAAATATATTTAAAAAATAAATGTAGCTCAAGATAATTTGACATTTTCCCTTTGATGACTATTTCTCTCACATTGATTTCCAAATTGTAACCAAACATTCTAATATCAGAGTTTCTCATTTCATCACTTTCGTATTTTTTCCTAACTTTACAGTATACATCGACGACAACAAAAGAAGTATGCACGTGTACGTAATTGTGCATATATTGAAATGTGCGATATAATAGCGTGTAACGATGTAAAAGGGGGAAATTAATACGGGGATGCCATTGCCGTCATCGGAGACTTGGATGAGCTTGAGCCTTGAGGCCGCCATCCTTAACTACGACGGAGATGGAGGTAGAGTCAGCATCGAGGCTGTTCTCGACCAGCTCTTTGACGGCGGAGACTGGCCGTTGAACGACCTCACCGGCGGCGATTCTGTTTACCACAGCCTGGTCGAGGCGGTGGATCCTCGGTGGCTCCATCGGTATGGGCTCTTCGATCTCCATTTGGGCTGTGTCTGTGGGCCGTTTGAAGGAATCTCAGATCAGCAGTGGAGTGTTCTGGAAGTTGATGGAGTGTTACGGGTCTTATTGATGCTACTAAAGCCCAGCCCAGTTACATAGTCCAGTTCTTAGTATCCAGTTAGGAATAAAGAGGGAAAACGTGTTTCTTCCTTTTACGTTTTATCATCACGTTTTTCTTCTCATTGTCTGTTATTTTTGTTAGTGTTGAACTGTCCTTTTCTTACTGGTTTGAACTGTGTTTTACCATCTATAAATGATGGAGATCACCACCATTTCCGTAATTGAATTTGGTTGTTGATTAATTGAAATGTTCGTTTTATTCTTCTTTTGTTCATGGTATCAGAGCATGGTTCGAAGCTCTGAGGATTAATTAC